AAAAAAAAAAAAAAACCCACAAAAAAGCTCCTCAGCGGAAAGCAGGTTCTGCTGTTTGGCTCCACTGGCAGCAATGCCCAAGCAGTGTGTTCATGTGGTGTCCTGATCTGTCTGTGCTAAAGCCATCGGTGCTATTGCAGCAAGATCCCCCTTCAGATATTTGTTCTTGCTTCCTGCTCACTAATGGCTGTTAAACTGGGGTGGGTATAAACCTCTGTAGTGGAATAACACATAACAGTACTTGAACAATGATTTCTGGAAAAAAAAGGGACTGGCAAAGAGATGCACAGAGGAGGTAGCCTGTTGTCATGGAGCTTTGGTGGTAGGTGGGTGTTAACCTCCTTTAGGCTACTCTGATAACCCAGCAAAAGGCACATGCCACTGAAATCAGAGGTGGATGGAGAACATACAAGAAATCTCAACCCAAAATAATGGAAACTTGTTTGGGGAAAACAAAGTTATAAAGGGTCAATATACCCGTATGTCTCTTCTGCTCTGTATAAGAGCGGGAGACCTAAAATTGCATTATGTACTGGTTTTTTGTACTGAGATATCCTGGTCTCTGCAATTCCATTTGTTTTAACAGCTCTCAAGTACATATCGCTGCCTCGTTAATTCACACTTGTTTAATGGTAATGAAATCAGTTTGCACACAGACTGGATCCCATCCTTAAGATCATTGCTGTAATTCTGTGGGAATTTGGAAACTACTGCAATGTATTATCGGAAAGGAATATAGTTCTAATTAGCATTTCTCTGAGAATTGTCCATGTGGAAATTTTCTCTTACAGCAGTTTGCAGAGAAAACACATGATTCCTATATGTAGCTCCTTTCTCAAGATTACACAGACCTTACTGCTGTGTCTATTGCATGACAGTCATGCCATGTAAATACTCTGCTTATTCTGGAAGGTATCATGAACTTCTGTGCCTTAGAAGATAAGCTTTACCCTCTGTTCTGTATTTAAATGTGTTCTGGTTTATTGTTGTTTCTCTCATGTAGAGAACACTGCTCCCCAGGCCATCTGGAAATCCGTCCCAGCATGTCTGTTCCTTTTCTATCTTATCCAACTCATCCATTACAGGTGAGTCTGCTTATCTTCTCTCACTTTCATGCTGCCATGAGATGGACTGGAAAGTGTCCCTTAAAACTGTGTAAAGGAATAATTTCTGAATAGGGGAAAATATCCTTTCAAAAACAGTCTCATTTACCAGTTGCTTGAGTCACTTCCTACAGGATATGGGATTGTTCTCACGGATCATTGTTAAGCAAGTCATGATTGTGACAGGAATTTTTTTTTCTGTAGGGTGTAGATTTTTTTTTTTTAATGGACTTCTCCTAGTGCCTGGGATACTGCTTAAGTTCCATCCAGGGTAACCAATATACTGCCCATTTGTCCTTTTCTGCTGATACACTCTTGAGTACGATGGTAGTCCAGGTGATCCCCCATCTCAGCTTAAATTTCAAAATCAACATGAGACCTTAAAGGTTATCTTAATTGAAAATAATGAAAGCAGCTTCAGTAACACAGCAGCACTTGCTGTTTTGTTTTTGTGGTAAGGCACTAGTTAGCTTGCATTGCTGTTTCAAGTTTGTTTCATCATCTCCACTACTTGCATTCCCGGAGCTCGCTACTACTTGGAATTTGGTTGCTTTGACTGAACTGTGTTGTGCTCTGCTTTAAAGATGTTAGATTTCATTTGCTTGAGAGGTATTTAATCCTTCACCCTAGGGAGAGGTTCATTTCGGCCAATCCAGTCCTCACTGACTAAAGCTGCTGTTTCTCGTCCAATTGTGCCCAAAGTTCTTCCAACACAGGCTACCAGCCATCTGTCTAGTAAGTAATTCCTTAAACAGAATGAGAGTCACAGTCTGTTGTGATCTGTATGATGTTAGATCATTGGTTTCTGTTTCCTAGGTAAAATTGTTAGTGCCTTTGGAAGTTAAAGAAAACAGCTGTGTTGATGATATCTTGCTTTCTGTGGCTTTGTGTGACTGCAGAAAGGGAGCAGTCAGTGCTGGGACTGTCTGAACTAGGTTCCTTCGCGGTGTCTGGCCTGCCAGCAAAGCAAGGGGTTGTGACAGATTTGAAAGAAACACAAACAGCTTATCTGCGGTGTGAGATTGTGAATTCTACAAGAAAAAAAACACGCGGGTGTACCCTAAGGACATACTGTCTTGCAACTAAAGAATGGGTCCTGTAATAAGAGTGATTAGTGAGATGAAAACAGTGACTGCCTCAATGTTTCACTTAGAGGATTCTCTGCAATGGGATGACATTCAGATGTTTTGAGTGGATTTTAAAACATCCGGGTGAGGTTGTCCCTGCAACAACAGAAGTTTTTTATGTGGAGCCTAAATGGCTGCTAGAGGCAAGATAACAAAACCAAGACTATGTTGGTTTTGGAGCCCCTCGAGTAAACCATAGGAAATTTCTAGAAACTGCATAACCACATACTTGAGAATTTGCAGGACAAAAACGAAAAAAAATAGAAGGAAAGGGCAGGAGGGGAGAACTGGGATGTTTCTCTAAACTGTTTTGATATACCTGATAACGTGTTGGAACAGGGCAGAAAAAAATCAAACCTTTTAGCTGAAAGAAATGTTATACTTTGTGAAGAGGAACAATTGATACAGCTGAGCAGATAATTACCATTTTTGCTTTTTGCATGTTAAGTTTTGACTCAGGGCAATTTAAAAAAAAATAAAATCTTCTTTTAGATGAGTCACAACAAAGTAATTGCCAGAAGAAAAGGCTTCTGATGTGTTTTTTGCTTTTTTGTTTCACAAAAGGTGCTATTGACTTGGCAGCTAAAAGTGCTGGTATTATCCCTGGTAGCCCTATGCCTGTCCTGGATGCCGATGGTTTGTCAGGTGTGTCTCCGTTGTCACCAGACAGAGTGACCACAATGGTAACAGGGCGGGAGTCAACAGCAGCGCATCAGAATGGAGGCTCCATCACCACTGTAGAGGTCAGAGTCTCTTTTATAGTAGTTAAGTGTCTTGCTCTTTCATTGTGTAAAAAAGCTGTGTTATTAATGACTCTTTAGCGAGCTTTCTCCTGGAGCTTGCTGTTACCCATTTTCTTATGGCAAGCCCAAGACATGTCATGTAGCCTGTATTTCAGGGTAGAGGGATCAAATCATCATCACATCGAGCAGATTCCCATCCTATAGAACAGCTTTCAGCTGTGAGACTGTTGGAGTTAGCCATCCAGAAATCTGGGCTTAAAAAGAAACAGTAGCATTTCAATAGCCAGTAATTCAGGAAGGAATTTGGGGAAAAACATGGACTTTTAAGCAGGTATTTGGAATGGAAACCATGATTTCTTCTTGCTGTTCCTTTCATTGAGACTCAGATACATGTTAGTTCATGTCATTTTCTCAGGGAGCTGACGGACGATTTTGAAAGGCATTATATGTAAAACGAACGTGCATAAACGGTGATAGGCACTTGTCTCTCACCTCCCCAGCTCTGTTTGCAGCATCTCATGTAAATGTTGCTCACATGGTTTCTGTTGTGCTTCTAGGGCTCAGGCCCTGGGTGTCGGGTTCCATTCATCAGCCTACCAACACGGCATGAGCAGGAGGCAGTTCCTGACGGTTTCCAGGTAGAGTATGAGTTGAAAGAACAGTTGTATGAAACAGGTAATGTTCTGAAAACACCACTGGTATTACTAGTTAAAACCCCTTTGTTCCCAGGTAATTGTACACCATTGGTACTGTTCTGTGGGAATTGAAATCTATAGTGTCTGAAGAAATTTAAAGAAATAAATTTAGGAAGGCTGCTTAAATTTATGTGGATGCCATTCTCTAAAAAAAAGCAAAGCAAAGCTGAATGACTTCTGAAGGACAAACAGGTTTTACATATTTCTTGAGACAGGGAGGAGGCTATAATAGCTCTGCTGTATCGTACATGTGTATTTTGGACGTCATGAAGATTTCAGCAATTGGCAGGTCTGTTGCTTGTATGGTGCTGAAGGAGGAATTTTAAGACTAAAAGCATGATTGTAATGCCAGCGTCCTCTTCAGAGAACCACTTTTCTTTATGCTGAATCCAGTAAGACATAGATAATTAAAATGTAACTGTGACAGCACTTAGGGTGTGAGAGTGCTGTCATCCTATCCCCGGCTTCCTTCTCCAGTGGGATCCAGGACCTCTTGTTAGATACTTAAGCCTCAGGCTTTTCTTTTTCTTTCAGTGGAAGCACTTTCTACCCTTCATGTGACAGGTACATGTGAAAAAGGTCAAATTAGTTTGATTGGAGAGCATAAAGGAGGGGAAGATTTTTATTTTTTGTATTGCACAGATGTTAGGACACGAACCTACTAGGGATTTATTTGTGGTAATGGGGCCTTAGGTTCTGGTTCTTGCTCTCAGGACAGCTTTGTGTAGACTACATCAGAAAAAAATGACAAACAGTTCTATGATGAGGTCCTTAAAAAAGATCAGTTGAGTTTTGGGAAGCCTGTCTGTAAAGAGGAGTGAGTTAGTTTAAAATATATATGTGCTCTTCAAGCAGTTACAGGTTTTTTGGCTATACAAAGGCAAATTAATACTTAATTCTTAAGAATGATCTTGTAGGTTCATCAAAATCATGTTAATTTTATTATGATGCTGTTTCCATTATGTAGGCTGTATTAAATATCCTTTGGAATGTTACAGACCCATGTTTTTTCAGATGATTTGGCAGGATATGGGCTGAAGCATATTTGTTTATCATCTGCTTACAGATAATTTTTCATTAAAATAATAAAAATGTATTATATAAATGTTCCTAAAATTTTAGCAATATTATCTGCTGGATTATTAGTCCTCTTCCCCGCCTCCCCCCTTGCAGTCTGATTTTAATCTAATGCTGAGGAGCTAAGCTGTTGCTTTTCAGATGGATTTCCAAGTCTTTCGTGAAGTTATGAACAACTAACTCTGTTTCTTCTAACAGAGCACGTCCGTCCTTTCTCTGTCAGAACTGTCCAAGACTCCCCTCCAAAATGGTCTTTGCACCCCTCCACTTCCTTCATCAGAGGCTTCCAGTACCCGGCTCTCCCCTCCCAATGTTTCTGCTCTCTTGGACATTTCTCTGCCTGGACCACCTGAAGATGTGCTTTCTCAAGGAGAACCTGCCACTCAAATCAGCGATTCTATCATTGAAATAGCTATCAGCTCTGGTCAATACAGTAAGTCTGAGCTTAGCTAAAGGCTTCCTATTAACTTTGGAAAAAACGTCTGTTGACATCTTACGTGTCAGCAGAAACTTTTCCAGGAAGCAGTTCTTAGTTATTTTTTGGTTTAATATCTGTTGGAAATAAAATTATATGCCTAGCCTTTATTTTCTAGCATATATAGCATATTTGTTGTTGTGGTGTCGGGTTTTTTTCCTTTCTAAACATGGATTAGTGCAGTGTCCTATAACTTTACCGCATTGACTGAATCGGTGATTCCTGACATTGGTTTACAGATGAAGGTGTTTCTCTCTCTCCTGCAAAGCTGAATGGCAGTGACAGCTCCAAAAGTCTTCCGTCCCCATCCAGTAGTCCTCAACAGAACTGGATTGCCTCTCCCAGCCACGATCCCCAGTGGTACCCCAATGACTCCACAGACTCGTCTCTCAGTAGCTTGTTTTGTAAGTGTCAGTATGCAAAGAACTGCAACAAAAAAGCTCTTTCCTTTCAAAAAAGAAAAAAAAAAAGGGCCAAGAAAAAGAGCACTGTTTATTAGAAGTGAATCCTTTGGAAAATCGTAAGCCCAGTAGGACATCTGTAGAACTCTTCCCTGACTTCTTGCTTTCATTTCAACAGTGTTGCCTTGAATACATTTTCTTTTTTTCTTTTTTTCTTTTTTTCTT